TTAAACTCATAATCCTCCTGCCTCAGCCTATGCTGGCAACACAGGTTAGTACATTTTTTTGTTTGTTTTTTTCTATTTTTTTTTCATATAGCTATAGTTTTAGGGCTCTGCATTGAGACAAGAGGTCTCTGGCTGATGAATTCTTTAGCTTTATTTGGTTCAGAAGGTTATTTTGCTTCTGTTCTTGAAAGACACTTTATCTTAGAAAACAGTTCATCCACAATGACAAGAAGCAAACAGGAAATTCATTGTTGAGAAGAATTCTGAAGTTCTTCATAACCTTTGAACCCAACAAGAAAATGGGATGCACATGAAATGACATGAATGATGATGATCACGTACATACATGTTTATTATGTCACATAAACAGAAGTCAGGCATTACTATCTGGACAAACCAATCAGAATTTCAGGTAAAAAGCTCATTGACGATGTTCACAGGCATGACAGAGGCTAAGAGTCAGCAGAGAATACACGAGAGTATCTGACATATTGCCTAGGCAGTGCAGTTAGAGTAGCACATTTGACCCAATCAATCAAACTGTCAATGTTTCATTCAGCACGGCAATGCTCCAGGCACAGGAAGAATGGCAGAAGCAGGGAAACATTCAGCAACAACTGCTACTGTGGGACCTCTCTCCTCAAATTTATACCAGGGTGTCCTCCCAAGAAAAGAACAAGATAGAAGGAAGTAAAAAGGACTTTCTAAAAGAGTAAAACTAGGGTTTGAGGGCATAGCTCAGTGGTAGAGTGCTTGCTTAGCATACACTGGGCCCTGCATTTGCCCCTAGTTCTAATGAACAAAAAAAAAGAAAAATAGCAAATTGCCAAAAACAAACACCAAAAGCAAAAAACAAACAAACAAACAAACAACCCCCCCCCCCAAAAAAACCACACATCTGAAGGCTAGGTATGGTGGTGCAAACCTATAATCGTGTAATCCAGAGCCAGGAGAATTGTCACAAATTCAAGGTTAGTAGTCTGTTCTATACATCCAGTTCCGGGCCAGCATGGACTAGAGTGAGGCCATGTCTCAAAAGGACACACACACACACACACAACTGACCTAACAAACCAGAAATAAATTCCAGATTCTCTTTACTGAGAAGGCTCCTAAAATATATACCAGCACATCACAATAAATAAGAGGCTCAGACCTCTTTTTTAGTATATACTAATTGTACAAAGTAACAGGTTTCATTGTGGCAGAAATTTGGTGTGTGCCAATGTGCTCAAACCAGAGATTGATGTCAGATTGAGTATCTTCCACCATGGCTCTCCACCTTAATTTTTGAAACAGGATTTCTCTCTCTCCTTAAGATTTATTTATTATGTATACAGTGTTCTGCCTGCATGCCAGAAGAGGGCACCAGATCTCATTATAGATCGCTGTAGGCCACCATGTGGTTGCTGGGAATTAAACTCAAGACTTCTGGAGGAGCAGTCAGTGCTCTTAACTGCTGAGCCATCTCTCCAGGCCCTGGAACAGGACTTCTCATTCAATCCGTAATTCCCCATATTGGCTAAACTGGCTGGCAAGTGAGCCCTTGGGATCCACTTATTTCCAAACCCCTCCCCAGGTGCTGAGGAACAGACACATACATACTGCTGTGTGCTTACCTCCTGAGTGCTAGGATTTTATGTGGTATTAGGGATCCGAACTCAGGTCCTTATGCTTGAATGGCAAGCACTTTATCCACTGAGTTAACTCCCCTCCCCCCTCATTATGGCATTTCTACAAGGACACATGTGTACCTGTGTGTGTACATATATGTGTATATGCAAGTGGAAGCCAGAGGACAACCTTGGGTGCCATCCTTAGGAACACTGTCCACCTTCCCTGAGACAGTCTCTGATTAGCTCAGACCTCACCAATTACGTGGGCTCCTAGGATCCTCCAGTCTCCTTCTTCCCAGTGCTAGAATTTCAAGATCATGCACCACAACTCGAATTCTTACCTGTGTTCTGAGGATCAAACTCAGGTTCCCAAGCTTGCAAGACAGGCAGTTTACCAACTGAGCTATCTCCTCAGCTCCTTTGTATTTCATACATGAATATAATGTACTTTGATCACATTCACACCTTTTTTGTCCCCCTCCCCCATCACATTCTGTATCTCAAATATTCTCCCCTATGCTTTGTGTGTGTGTTTCACAGGGGTTCATGAAGCAACTTTACACGATGTAGAGTCACCTGGGAAGAGGGAACCCCAGTAGAAGAACAGTTGATCAGATTGGCTTGTAGCCATGTTTATGCTAGATTGTCTTCATTGACAATTGCTGTGGGAGGACCCAGCCCACTGTGGGTGGTACCATTCTCCTTAGCATATAGGTCTCAGCTATATAAGGAAACATGACTCTGAGTGAGCCAGTAAACAGCATTCCTCCTAGGTTTCCATTTCAGTTCCTGTCTTGACTCCTTGACTGTGATCTGGAACTGTAAGTTGAAACAAGTGCTCTCCTCCCCAAGTTGCTTTTGGTCATGGTATTTATCACAGCAACAGAAAGGAAACTAGGACAACCATTCCTTCCTTTTAGTTAATTGATAAACTGCTCTGTCTAGGTTGCTGACTAGGAGATTGACCAGAGGTGTGATGTAGTGAGCTGTGCTGTTTATAAACTGTCTGCCTGCAGACTTGAGGGATATAGTTACTCTGTCTCATTGTGCACTTGCTCCTGTGAACCAAAATTTTAGACCCAATGACTTCAAGGTTCCTAAGACAGCTCTGGGCTTCGGGGACCCTTTTCTGGTTCTATGTGGCCATTCTTTAAAACCAGGTCTTCCGGGTGGTGTTCAGGCTCTGGGGGAAATTAAGTAAAAACTGGATGCAGAGAGAATGTAAAGTTGAACAAGTTGCTCACCAAGATGGGCTGGAGCTTCCTGTAACCGTGCAGTGTCTACTGAAACAAGAGTGTCATTATAAGAAGTTTGCATTCTTAGCTACTAGAGACTTCTGGGAATGGAAGCTGAAGCAGTTCATGGCAATGACCACAATCTAGAAACTGAAACCACATTCTAATTTTGCACAAGATCGCCAGCTCTGGCTGTTTTCATTGTGTCTAATAACAAGGATTATATTCAGCTGTGTGTAATAGAACATCTCCAGAACAGTCTGAAAGCCATGTAAGCCTTCCATCAAAATGTCAGTACAAACAACTAACATTCTAGTTAAATTACAGCCTCTAAGATCAACAAGCCGATACTTCTGTAGGAATACAAAATGGAGGTACAATCCTAAACAGCTCTGAAGGACAAAGGAAGATGAAGAGAACAAAGGGGATTTTTTATTTCTTACCTTTTGTGATGCTTAATTATGCAGCTGACTGACCTGGTATTATCTAGCCCAGGCTGGCCTTCAAATTGTAGCTTCAGCTTTGATAGGGTGTTGGGATTACAGGAAGAGAACTTTTTTTCCCCTTGAGGAAAACAATTGGACTCACCATTTGTGTGAATGAAATGCAAATCTAGGAATTAACAATATGTCAAAGAACATGGTGGAAGTATATTATAAAGGCAAAACTAACCATTTGTCTTACCGAACTAACACTGTTGAAGCTGGTTACTAAGAGTTTAAATTTGTTCAGTCTTTTCATCAAAAACAAAAATCTATTCTTTCTGAGAAATAAAACTATCTTAGTGAACAAGTAGATGGAAATCCTAGTACAAGTTTAAACACGAAACTTTCCTTCAACCCTTCCTTTTCCTGGTTTCAAGACAGTCTCACTATGTAGTCCTAGCTGGGCTTGAACCTGCTATATATTAGGCCAGCCTTGAAATCCTACTGCCTCTGCTTCCCAAGTGCTGGAGTTACAGGCATGCACCACCACAGCTGTCAGCTTCAAGTTCACCGGTAGAGACTTGACACTTCTTCCCTGTAGCAACAGTGACTTACTATTTGGCTTGGTGTAGGGCATGGATAAAAGTAGTTACTGAAGAGGAATAAATGGGTGGTGGCAAGAGGGCTAAGTGGGTGCTCACTGCCAAGCCTGATGACCTGAGCTCCACCCTTGGAACCCACATAGTGAACAAAGAGGACTGAGTACATCCAGTTGTCGTCAGACCTTGGGTGCACTTGTGTGCTTACACACACACACACACACACACACAGGTGAATAAACGAATGAGCGAATGAAGGGAGGCTTGAAAACACAGGTTTTAGAAAGGTATGTTTTGTAACAGCCTCAGATGATTAATCACACCACTGATTTCAGCCTGTGTTCTATGGTAAGTTTGTACTTGGGAACCACAAGCAAAGTTTCAGAAAGAAACCCTTGCCCTTTGGGAGTTCAATCTGAGACTGAAGGTGTCTGAGCACACGCTGTACACAGGGGAAGAAGGTATTTTGAATGCAATTTATTTGAAATGCTTCCAGAAAAGTTTAAGGCCATTATACAAAACATATTCATTTCACCAAAACATTTGCCCACTCTCTTCCCACAGGCTGACCCTGACAGAGACCTTTCCTCTACTCATTGGCCAGAGTGGCCAGCGGCCCTATAGAAAACATCTCAGGTTTTTCACCATCCAGTGTCTCATCTCAGCTTTCTGTCTGTCTGTCTGTCTGCAGCAGGTTCATTCACTAAATCAGCAACTTGAGAAACAAAGTGGTTTTAAATAAACTTGTAATAAAAAAAAATTTACCATGGCTAAAAATCTATAAATACAGAAATATGCTTTACAGGGTACAACTGATCATAACATTTGTTTTGAAAAATAATAATGTAATATACCTTACTTTTCTCTTGGTAACTCCTGACACACAACTTCTTTCAGTGCACAAGGCACATGTACATGATAAAGGGATAATTTTGTATTTTGCTGTTTTCTTTTTTGTAAACTTGATAGGTGAAGAAATTAACAAAAAGAAAGTTTTGGCAATAATTTAGAATCACTACTACTAGTACTGGTGTGGGTATAATTTTGTACAAGTCCCCTAAGTATTTATTTACACTTGCAGGGAGCTGTTCCATGTATTTTGTCAACTCCTCCCCCACCCCCGCCCCTAAGGTTTTTTTTCTTTAACCTGTCTTTGCTTTGTAAATCAAGGCTGGAACACAGAACTTTCCAGTTTGGCTAGCTAGCTGATCCTGGTTTATCAGAGCTAATGAAATTGGGCTCACAAGGAATTAACCACCATTCTGATTATAGCTCAAGAACCAAAGACCCATACTCAGGGCCCAAAAGCAGAGCTAGAAATCCCAAGACCCTCTAGACTATTGACAACTTCAGTGGCTCTCACAGGAGGCTTCGGTGGTGGTGACATATTCTGACTCCTAGGTCTTTCTTTCACGTTTGTAAACAGAGTCACCGATGCAGTCATGGTCTTGTGTCATCTCATTATCACTCAAAATTAGGAGTGGCTGAGACAGGTGGAGCATGAGGCACACAGTGTCTCAGATTCCTGGCAGATCATTCCTGGCCCTGGGAATCTCTCCTGGCGTTGTAGGCTAGAAATGGCTCTCTTTGACAAGCCCATAGCTATGACAAACACATTTTTCAGTAGAATATTCAGAACTGGCAGGTACTTTCAACTTTTTGGTTTTGTTTTTACAATGGAACTCAGTTTGAACTAGAACTTGGTGTATAGCTAAGTATGTTCTTGAACTCCAGAACTCCCTACCTCTGCTCTCAAATGCTCGGATTGTAGGCCTGCGCCACCAGGCCTGTCCAGCAGCTGCTTTTGTCTTGGTCCTTTCTGAAGCCAGGTTCTGTTTGTCTTCATAGATTATTACATTCAGCTTGCACTGGATGAAACCACAGGGTTCAAACAAAGCTTCCTCCTTTGCAAAGTCAAACCTCAGAAACCCCCCAGAGATGTTTTCATGTTTTTTGGTTGAATAACACAGAACCCAAGTTCACTTCAGGGGTTGGGCTTTCCTGCCTTCCATTTAAATGCCATCTCAAGACTCGGCAATGCTTTCTCAATTCCATGTCTTCAGCTACGGGAACACCGGAGAAGCATGGGACTGTCAATGCAGTCCACACACAACAGTAGTTTAGAGATCCTTCCTGTTTTGAAAAATCCAGAAGGACAATTCAAAGTAACTTGTTCACTTCCTCTCCACTCATCCAGATGCAGAGACAGAGCAATGGGAGGAAGGGCTGCCACAGCAGACACCACCTGACACAGAGTGGTTGGCAGTTACAGTACTAGGGACAAGGTCAGGCAAAGGGACACATGTGCACAGGCACAGAAGTGTTACAACGTCCCTCTCCAAACTGTTCATGTGTGGAATGCCAATACTGTACAGGTAAGACATGGGCACAGCCCTCCGTCAGACACTTTCCTCTAGCCTGCTGTCTGCACAGGAGACATCTGTCTGTTCCATCCTCTCACATTCAAGGCTGACCTCACTGGTGTCCATACTGCAGTCTGACTCACTGTCCGATTGGTCCATCTGCTCAAGTTTTGTCTCTCCTCGTGGCTCCCTGTTCTCAGTGCCAGGACCCAGGAGCAGTCCCTCAGAGTCAAGCAAGCCTGCCTGCCCAGAAGCAGACAGAACTGTTTCTTTGGCTTGCCGGATACAGTTGAGCCACTGCTGTTTGTTGAAGGTGTCATTGGCTTGTAGTGAGTGGGTCTGACTTTGGGATCCATTTTTGAAACTGACTCTGAAGAAGTTTTTAACTAGAAATGAAGAACACATGAAAAGGGTCACTGGGTAGGTGTTTGCCAAGGCTAACAATACCACCCATAGCGGCACTAAGCTCTGGGGCCCATGGCAGACATGCCAATTACAGAATGTCTCCTTCTGCTGCAGGACTCCGTTCTATCCTGATGCCACTCCTAATTGACTAGAGTGACACAGGCCAGGTTCAGTTTCCTTGGAGGGATTGATTACTATACCTGTGTAAATATTAGAAGCCCTTAGAGAGGATATGGGAGCTGTTGGAGAGAGGAAATTGAAGGAGAGAAGTGATGCAATTATATATTTATTATTGTTGTTATTATTTTGGTTTTTCAAGATGGTTTCTCTGTGTAAAGCTTTGGTTGTGCTGGAATTAGCTCTGTCAACCAGGCTGGCCACAAACTCACAGAGATCTGCCCGCCTCTGCCTCCCAGGTGCTGGGATGAAGATTCTAGGCATGCGCCACTAGGCCCAGATTGGGTTTTAGTTTTCTAACCAGCATTGGGAATATTTGACTATCATATACTGTGCACTCCACCCACAGGAACAAAAGCTGAACCTAAAACAGAGCTCACTACATAGTGATGCCTGACGGAGACTGTTATCCTGGCTTCTCATGGTCATTTCCTTTATTTAGTTAAGTCCTATCTTAGAGGTGCCCATTGAGTAGTGCTGCAGGTGAACACGTACCCCAGCTCATTCATTTTGGTTTTGTTTTCTTCTGAGGTAGGCTTTCACTATATAGTCCAGGTTGGCCTCCAACTCATAATCTCATGTTGGGCCATGACAGCTGGGCTCTAGGTGATTCTTCTTAAACCTCTTCAGCAACTATACCAGAACAACTACAAAACTTTACATTATGCAACTAGTGTCTTCCCAGAAACCGTACAGTATTAAGCATTATTTTAGGTAGCAGTAGGAGATAGTCAGGGAGCAAAAGGTGTACCAGCTACAGGTGTACATGGACCAGTTCATGAACTGTATGCCACCTAATGCTCAAAGTAAACACAAAAGGAAAGTAGCCAAATGGGAAACTGAGGCTCACAGAGGTTGAACTTGATTGCACACCAGTTAGCATTGGAACACAGTTGGGCTTTAAGGCTGGCTTTGTTCTCGTTTCCCCAGCCAGCCACTCCTTCTGTATTTCTAAGATCAAATGGGTTCACTACATCACTACAGTCTGCTCCCCACACATACTTCTCTCATTGTTGCTGAAGGCCCCACGCAGGGAGCCACCCAGCCGAACTTCTCCATCCTGCAGGTCTTCCAGCATGAGGTCCTTCACAGGGATGGGCTGCCGGTACAACTGGTAGCAGAGTTGCTCATTGTGAGTGACAGCTCGAGTGATCACAAGCACTTCTTGGAAGAGGAAAACATGTAGTTTCTAGAAGAAAAGAGCCCACAGGATTGTCTTGAGTAAGTGGTAAATTTGTGGGCCTCTGTGGTAAGAGGTCACTAGGAACCAAGTTCATATCAGATTATGAGCGCATGCTCAAATCTATTTCTAGGAAAATAGAAGTGGGGAGATTTGTACAGATACATATATCCACACCTTAGTACAGGTTTCTCTTTCAGGATCCACTGGAGCAAGGCTTTCTACAGATAACTGTAACCAGAATTCTACTTATATTACACTTCACAACCTGTCCAGTTAATAATAGTCTACAAAGGATGAGACTATATCAAATCCTAATAACAATTCTTGCTTCCCAAGCCCATAAAAACATGTCTCTTCAACCACTGGGCTTTAACCATCAGCTTTAACCAGCAACTCTGGCTGGCATCCTGCTCATCAGAGAGGGACCTGGGCACACTGCTGGTATCAGAGAAAGATGACCTGCATGTCCTCAGTAAGTTCATCAGCATCTGGGGTCTCTGGAGAGCCTGTGCTTTCAGGGTGGATGGCTGATACATGTGATGGAAAAAAAAATGAAGGCATGTCTCAAACCACATCATGAAAGCAAGCTGCCCCTATGGAGCTGAGGCAGAACATCTTAGAAAATGAAGGCGTGCCTCAAATCACACAAAGAGAGTAAGCCTCCTATGCAGTGCTGGTACATATCTGTGGTGTTCAACTCCGAGTACCAGACCCTTCTCACAGTCTGGAGAGGTTCAGGAGTGAAGGCAGAGTGATACAGCTCTGATGTTAGGCTCTGGCTTTCTGGTGGAAATGTGGGGATGCTAATCCAGAACTCTTTTTTTTTTTTTTTTTTTTTTTGGTTTTTCGAGACAGGGTTTCTCTGTGTAGCTTTGGAGCCTGTCCTGGAACTAGCTCTGTAGACCAGGCTGGCCTCAGAATCACAGAGATCTCCCTGCCTCTGCCTTCTGAGTACTGGGATTAAAGGCCTGTGCCACCACCATCTGATGGCCACCATCAGAAGAGGGGTCAAAACTCACGATTAGAATCTTGATTTGAGTAGGGGAAGCCATTCTACACTATCAGTGATTCACTATCTGAAAGAAAAACAATTTGTAGGTCTCCTACCATATACATTCCACATACTGCAGAGGCGAAAAATTCTACTAGACCTTAGGTGGTAGGAATGTATGCCTTAAAAGATTGGCTGGGCACACAGCTGTAATCCAACAGTTAGGAAGTAGAGGTAAGATATTGCAAATTCAAGGTGAGCCTGGGCTATACATTGAGTTTGAGTTTAACCTGGGCTGCTTGGGGAAGACTCTGTTTCAAAATAGACAATTTTTAAAAAATGCCCAAAGATTATAAAACACTTAAGCACAAAATAAAAAGTTAAAAGCCCCCTTTCCTGCACCCCTGGCGGCTTCCCCCCAAAGGAGGTAGTGGTTATAGAAATGTGTTTAAAAATAGTCTTTTTAGGGGTAGGGGAGAGAGAGTGGTGGTCCATTGTATTAGGGTTTTGTTTCTATATCAATAGATCTTCTTGTTGAGGCAGGCAGTTTAAACTGGGATTATCTGGGCAATGCTTTTAAAATATTCATCATGCCAGGTAGTGGTGCACATTTTTTATCCCAGCACTCAGGAGGCAGAGGCAGGTAGATCTCTGTGAGTTTGAGGCCAGCATGGTCTACAGAGCCAGTTCCAGGACAGGCTCCAAAGCTACACAGAAAAACCCTGTTTTGAAAAACCAAAATAAAATAAAAAACATCCATCATTTATGTCTTTACTGATAATCAGCTTCCTTTTGTTCCCACTCCTGTGACATTTTTTTCCTGAAGCAGGACTTTGTTCATAATAACATTCTCACCTCCATCGTGAGCCAAACTCAATAAACCTCCCATCCAAACTGCTGTCTTCTTTGTTTTCAGAGCTCCACTGCCTGTAGGGCTCATCTTTCTGCCATAGATACATCCAGTCAGAGGGGCCTCAGCTTAGATTGGTGTGTGACAATGGGACCATCTCCTGGGGAACAATGCTTCTTCCTGTTTCTCAAGACTTACTAGAAAGACCTTTCCAGGAACTGTTGATCAATCATGTGAGCCCTCTGTTGCTTCCTGGGACTCACTTTCTGGCAGTCAGTAGCTCTCTCACACACATGCAGGTCCACACATTACACATGGTATGGCTGAATCCACAGGGGTCCTGATAATAGGCTATGCAACATACTCTCTAACAACGAGGGGTAATTCCAAACTCGATCACATAAGCTGAAAGGATGTCTCTTAAATTATTATATTTAATCAACTTCATCTATGTTAAATACTTTTTTTTGGAGAAAGTTTTCACTATGTGCTCTGGCTGACCTGGAATCCTTTAGGAGGATCAGGCTGGTCTCATACTTTCTCTGCAGCCCTGATGGACCTTGAACGTAAAAACTTCCCTGCTTCAGCTTCCCAAGACGCTGGGATTATGAACCCGTGCCAATAGGTCTGACTCACTACTTTCTGAAGTCAAAGTGGGACATATGGTGTATGCCTATAATCTTAGCTGCTGGGAAGGCTGAGGCAGGGTTGACTCATCCTAGTGGGCAACTTAATTGAGACACTGTCTCAAAATCTAAAAAAAAAAAAAAAAAAGATAAAGAGAAGGTTAGGAATGTGTTCAGGGGTAGAGTGCTTGCCTAATGGCAGCAAATAGGTTAAATCCTTGGCACCACAAAAAAAAAAAAAAAAAAAAAAAAAATGGAAAAGAGAAGCCAGGGTTGGGGTGGGGCTAGGGAGAGGGGAAGTACCAGGGAAGGTCCCGAAGACAGTAACTACTTACCACACCCCGGTTATTTTTCAGTTCACCGTGACAACACAGGACCCTTGAGCTGTCAATCAGGGAATCTTTCTGGGCTTCTTCCAAGTAAAGGAGCCGCTCTTTGTAATATCGGCATTCCGATTCACCAGTCTTGGTGTTGATTTCTGCCACAATGCCCTGAATGATGTTTATCTATGGAAGCAAAGAAGAATAGTAAATATGGGGGGGAGCCAACCAACCACAGCCACAGGCTTAGAGCCGGTCTCCAGGCTACCCAGACACTGCTGCACCTAATGCTGAAAGCTGAGATATTTTGGCCACTGTGGGAAAGGGGGAAAAGGAAAGCTTTTTTCTTTTGAGGGGAGGCAGATTCCCACACAGTGAGGCCAGCCTTGAACTCACAGAGATCCACCTGCTTATTGTGTATCACAGTACCCAGCTAAGTTTAATATACTAAGTTTATATAATTTATGCATATATATATGCATATGTGCGTATATATATATATATATATATATATATATATATATATATATATTTGTATCATAAACTATACTGGCTAGTGTTTTGTCAAATTGACATATGTTAGATTCACATAGGAAGAGGAAACTGCAATGGAGAAATGCCCTTGCCAGCCTGTGGTAAAGCCTCTGGGACATTTTCTTTATTAATGACTGATGTGACAGATCCCAGTCCATTGTGGATGGCACCACCCCCGGGCAGGTGGTCTAGGTTTGTGAAGAAAGCAGGCTGAGCAAGCCATGGGGAGCAAGCCACTAAGCAGCGCCCCTCCATGGCTTCTTCTGCTCCAGTCCTTGACTCCAGGTTCTTGCCCTGGCTTCCCTCAGCTATGGAGTTGATGTTATGGTGAAGCTTTACCCCAGCCCCTGGCATCCATACACCCAAAGAGTCTGGAATGTCATGGTGGCAGTTCTACCCAAGCTCACCTTCCCTATATCCCTCCAAACCCTGCTGCATCTCAGAAAGTCCCACAAATGATGACCCCCTCCCCCAGACGTGCTCAAGACCACTCCCACAGGGTATTTAAACTGCCCCCCAGAAAACAGATGTGTGGTTTTCCAGTCTCTCTTTCCCATCTCTCTATAGGGTTGGAAGGTCAGCCAGGAGGCTTGTACACATTAAACTTGGGCTTTTTCTAACTTGGTTTGATTTGGTCTGATTTAGATTGCTGCATCGGTGGAGAGGCTTATCAGGGTGCAGAAACTTTTCACTTATAAGCTGTTAGGTGAAATAAACTTTTTTATCCCCAAGTTAGTTTTAGTCATAGCATTTTATCACAGCAACAGAAACCCTAAGACATAAGCAAATCTAAAAAGTGATGCATAACGTCTTCCAAGTGGAAGAGGTACAAAGCAGTCTTGGATGCTTAAGAATGTACTTATACTGCATGCCTACAGTCCTAACATTTGGGATGCTGAAGCAGGAGGGCCATGAGGAGGGTGTTTGCGACCAGACTGGGTCAAAGCAGGTTCCTAGGCCAGTCCATAATGAGACCCTGTTTCAAGAAACCAATACCAAGCAAGCACTCCCCACCAAATGCAAACCAAACCAAACTAACCAAACAAAACCAAATGGAATGGAACTGAATGGATCCAAATCAAATGTGAGACATCTGAAGAGCTGTTTAATGTTTTAACTCCTTAACATTTCTATGTTTTCAGCAGGCAGTGGAATCCATACATCCCTTTGAAAAAGACCTCAAACCAAAACAACAACAACAAAAAACAAAAACAAAAAAAGTTCAGGCTTGGGCATTGGTATCCCACGCCTTTAATCCCAGCACTCAGAAGGCAGAGGCAGGTGGATCTCTGTGAGTTTGAGTCCAACCTGGTCTACAGAGCTAGTTCCAGGACAAAACAGGCTCCAAAGCTACAGAGAAAACCTGTCCCCCCCCACCCCCCCAAAAAAAAAGAAAGAAAGGAAGAAAAAGACCCCAGCAGTAATGGCTACGGCTTTTTACTAGTGAACCATTTACTAATTGCTCTGGGACAGGGGAGCTAATCAACACTTGAGCCAATTTTTAGAGTTTGCTGCAAGTGTCCAGGAAACCCAGAAGGGTCCTCACCACAGATATAATGGGCTCACTTCCTAATGTAACTCAGGAACTGAACAGCCAGCCTATCATGCAAAGAGTTACAAACTCAAATGCTGCAGTGGTTCCTCGAGCAGCTCTGACTACTTCCTGTTCACAAATAGCCAGCAGCATCATTCCACACCTGAATCTGCTTTAGCCCCAAATACAAGGTTTTGTATTTGTATCTACCCAGAGGTTTGTATGTGTGGTGTGTGTGAGGTGTGGTATGTGTGGGAGCACATGTGTGCCATGGTACCAAGTGAGGTCAGATGACAACTTTCAGGAGTTGGGTCTCTTCTTCCAAAGTATGCTCAAGTGATTGAATTTAGGTCACCAGACTCACATAGCAATCTCACTAGCCTTCTGTTTGATGTTGGATGTTTTGTCTTGTTTTTTGTTGTTGTTTTGTTTTTGAGACAGGGTTCAAGTCAGACTGGGATTCAAATCAACTCAAGAATTTTCCATGTTGTGTAATTAACTAAAGTCTTCTAAATAGTTAGAATTCAGGGTTTGAACACAGCTTTATCACTTATAAGCTATAACCCTGGACACATTACACTGCTGAACAGAAAACTAAGATGGTCTAGATGAAAGGAAATGGGGGGCCAGTGGGAAGGAAATCCAGATTCAAAGTTGTGAAAAACCAGATCAGGGAGGGGTGGTGGTGGTAAACCCTATAGAGTGATGCATGCTCAGTAAACATTTGCTGAATGAGGGTGCAGTGGCAACTAGGAGGTTGATCAGGCACCCTACTGCACTTGGGTACAGATGTCCCTTCACAAATGAGCTTTGGGCTAGCTAGCAGCCAATTCCCATTTTAAATTCTTCCATTTAAAATTTCCAAAAAGATCTTAGTTCTCACAGTCTGCAATTCTAATACCAGATTGGAGTGGTATTAAAAAAAAAAAAAAAATCAAGAACAGTGGAAAGCCTGAGTTGGGTGTGCTACAACCCTAGCATTTGGGAGGCTGAAACTGGTGGATTGAGAGAGGCCACAAGTTTGAAGCCAGCCTGGCCTGTGTCAAACATGCATGCATGTAATGTACACGTACACATAACCAGTAACAGAAGTATTAGAACCAAATCAATCTTAAGCTACTTTGTGTCAACATGTTTTGTGTGTGAGGAACTGGAAACTGGTAAGGAAAAGTAACAACAAACAAACTCACTAATGAAAGAAGTAGTAGTTCCAGGCCTGGAACCCAAGATTGCTGGGCCCCATGCATACGGTACCAATTGACCCAGCCTTAGCCATTATGGAGAATGAAACAGGAAGAGAAAAAGAAACAGGCAGACTCACAGCTTCCTCCAAGTGCTGTTGGTCTGGATCATCATTTGGCGTGTGCCTCAGGATTTCTCGGAGGAGCAGAGGGTATTTTACCAGGCGGCTCCTGGGAATATCAAGGAAATTCCAGAGATCTAGTTTGCGGCTGAAGGGGGATTCTAGGCAGCGCTGAAGGAAATCCTGGACTCTGTGGTCTTGCTTTTTGTGGTCCAGAAGGGCTTTGGCAGCAACTTGATTGCTGCAGTAGCTGTCATAGGAACTGAGACAAGGCAGCTGAGAAGGAAACATAAAGGGAAGGCTGGGTGTCAGCATCATTGCTATGAAGGTCCAGGCTGGCATCAGTTAGGAATGAACAAACACCAAGTCAGTCTCCAGACCAAGCCAAGGTTCCTTTATCTGCAAGGGTGGCAGAAACTAAGCAGTGCAGTCTTTAAAACAACAACAAGACACAAAAGTGTTATTCTCTCAGCTATACTTTTATTCTGTAAAGATCCCTATCAAAACTCCTTAGCTTTGTCCAACAACTTAAGCTAGGAAAAAAGAACCAGTTTTGTCGATGCATATAGAATAGGGTGTGTGTGTGTGTGTGTGTGTGTGTGTGTGTGCATTTATGGCACAGGTTCACATGTGGAGACAGGGAACAGTCCTAGGTTTGGTCCTCATCTTAGACAGGGCCTCTTCACTACTTGCTGCTGTTCTGGAAGCTGCAGGCTTGCTGGTCTGTGAGCTTCTGGGGGTTCTCCTATTTCTGCCTCCCATTTCACTGTAGAAGCACCCAGATCACAGACACATGAGACTGTGCCTGGCTTTACACAGATTCTGGGAATTCAAACACAAATCTTTACCCTGTCCACAAGTCCTGTGCCCACTGATTTAATTTTAAGAATTTTTATTTTTGTGTATGTGTGCATATTTGCTTGTCTGTTTGTGTGACTGTATGTGTGTCTGTATGACGTCTGTAGACATCAGATTCTCAGGAACTACCTAGAGTTCCCGTGGGAGTTCAGGAAACTGAACTGTGGCCCCCTGGAAGAGTAGCAAGCATGTCTAATCACTGAGCCACATCTCCAAGCCTACCTCCTCTTGTGTTTTAAAGGAGGATTTATTTTAGGATTATTTAAAGAGACTTATCTAGAAGACTTAGGGTCATACACAGAAAGCAAGAGTCCAACTCACAACCTAGGTTTTTGTGTTGTTCAGTACAAGCATTTCCACATTTGTTTAAGATTACATGATTCTAAGTTGGCCCAAAACTTAGGGGCCTCAAGAATTTGAAGCAATAGTATGATTAAGAAAAAAAAAATTAGTTGTAGGAATTATTTATTAAAATCTTTTAAATGAGCTCTAGCAGGTCAGGAAAAGTTTTTGGCACCATCTTCTGAATTCTCACACCATCATGCAAGAATAGTTTCAGCTTAAAGACTGGAACATGTTAACCTCACTGCCTTCTTTCCAGCAAAGCCAATTTCCTTGACATGCCCATCAGTCACACTGTGTAAATATCACATCAGAGACTCAAGCAAAGAGCTTCTCATCCCCCTCTGCTACTCCTCCCTCATAACAGTGCCTTAGGCTGACTGACAGGCTAGTGCAAATCTACCCATAGCAGTAACATGTAGCCAGTGGCCCAGCTACATTGATTGCCCTCTTCTGGAAACCAATGAAGAGACTGTTCACCAAGACATCCCTTCTGTAGCATTCAGTGCAAGACAGTGACAAAGGCATCTTTAGTTTCTGCATCTTCAGGCTTTTGCATCCTATCCATTAAACAACAAAGTCTGTATTTTGGATGAACAGATACATTCAAGGTTAATGGATTGTAAGACTAGAGAATAGTTGATGGTTTGGGGGCAATGCTCACAAAGAAACAGCAGAATAAAAAACAAATAAAAACCCAAACCCAAACAAAACTCAGGGCGTGGTGGCTCTCACCTATGATCCTAGCACCCAGGAGGCCAAGACAGGAATTGAACGTTCAAGAGCAGCCTAGACTACACAGTGTGATCCTGTCTCAAAAGTCAAACAAAGAAGTGGCCAGAAGAGGCAATTACTAAGCCTGAGGGCTTGAACTTGGTCCCCAGGATCTATATGGTAAGAAGGAACCAATGCTCATGAGTTAACCTCTGATTTCCATACACAAGAGAACAGGATCCTATAAGTTGTCCTCTGGGTACATATACACTCACATATATACAACTACATAAATGCATGTAAAAATAACAGCAACAAAAGCACAAAGGAACAAATCAACAAAAACATGAGTGGTAGAATTTGAAGGTGTTTTGTTTCTTTTTAAACCATTCATATGTTCATATGTAATAGAATTTGAAGTTTTTAAATATCCTACCACTACTTGTATAATTCTTATTGAAATTATTTTCTCATCACAGAGTAGGAAAAGTTGTCAGAGTAGTAGTATTTAAAAGACTCATTATTGAGTTTAACGTTTCTTGGAAATGTCTTCCTTCCACATTAACAAAGAAACACACACACAAAACAACCTTTTGATTTGTGTTAAGAACAGCTGCAGAAATTCTCCGCTCAACCATATATTTTGAAGTACTGATAACTAGTTTACCTGCCCCTCACCCCCCCAAGATGGGATGCTTGCAACTTAGATTTTCAGAATGAATTCAGGCTCCCCTAATTTCATTACTACTTCCTCGCTTTTTTAAAGACCTGGAAATGACCCATGTTTGCATTAAGTAGATGCAAATCAGCAGTAGCAATCAGATATGAACTACCAAGGAACTATTGGTCACTGTCCAATGGGCCATTACTTTCTGTGATCCCTGCCACCTGCTACCATGGCAACCAGTTAAGCTCTGCTCTTTTGTTCACACCTGATAGGATGCTCATTTCCTGGGCATGACTCAAAATTAATACAGTCTGATTTCCAAATATGTTTGCACACCCTTTAAAAATGAGGTAACAGTTCAGTGTTAAAAAAAAAAAAGAAAAATAAGAAAAACATAACTCTGGAAATACAGCATGAGGTTCAAAAACTAACTTAGAGACACTAAGTCATCAAACACTTAACAGAGGAGCACACCAGGACAGGTTTTAAGCTACAGCTAAGCAAGTAGCTCACCGCAGCTATACAAGATCTGCATAAGACTGAGCCTGCCAACATTTTGTCATGGATGGAGGAGGTTCTCCTCCTCCCTGAGGGCCTATAGGTAGTTAATGGTTGCTGGGGGAGAGGGTGTCACTTTCTTCAGTGGTATAGCCATTGCTAAATTGTCCCATTCTTGAAAATAACTTCTCACTCACACTTGTGCAAGCAGCTATGATTAAATCCAATGGATCATAGGAAAAGAAGACACAAAAGTGGGAGGAGACTTGTTGGGAAATAGGGTTTCAGTGGGAGAGGGAGGTAGATAAGAGTGGGGGACATGGGGTAAAAATCCACTAAAATTCATTATAAGTATGGAACTGTCAAAGAATAAAAAATGAAATTTTAAATGAAATTTAAAAGGCCCACGTGTATGAGTATACATATGTGTATGTATCCGTATCCATGTGTATGTATACATATGTTTAAGTATATATGGAAAGCACTTATTTCTTTTTTTTAATATTTTTAGAAGTTCTATCCCCTTAATATAAAAAAATATCAGAATGAATCTGGATTTTTACTTCCATGTACCCTTTCTCTCCCTTTGGGATTAAAAATTAACTAGGACCTAAATTAAACAGGAGCACTTTCTACCATGGAGGGCTTATAAATTATTTTATCACTGAGACAGTCACTTAGGACATTGCTTCTTTGTGACAGGGAAGGCTTGCTCAAATAGGATGACCCGCTAGGAAGAGACTGCCACCCTCTGTAACCCGGCAGCTCCCCAGAGATGCCCTCTGTTTAAAGTCCTCAAAGAACAAGTCATGGATTCACTTTAAGGTCAAAGGCCTGGCTGATGCTGTCATGGGGGGCTGAGGGGGCATTTATTTTTTTCCTTTGTGGGAATATAAATCAATTTTCCATGGGTTGAATGGACTCTGACTTTCTTCATTCAGTGTCCAGTAAGACATTTATTTTGCTCTGTTAAAAAGAGTAGAACTCAAACAGATTCACCCCTTGGTGTACAGCTCCCACTCAGACCAACACACCTGCAGTTAAAAGAGGGAAAACATTTAACAACTTTTTGGTTGATAACTAAAGACCATTTCTTATAAAATCTGGCAACAATGGGCCACTTGTTTCCTTTCAGGCCAAGCTCTAAGATTCCATTTGATGCCCGGAGGGTCCAGACAGCAATAGACTGGGGTGGCCACATTTCCTCTGAGTACGTACGGAACATGACTGTTAAAGCCTTCCCCAGTCCCTAGATCAAACTAACCTCATAACACAAGTGACAAAAGTGTATTTCAGGGGGAAAAAGCAGACTGAGCATGAGTCTGGAACAATGTCATAATTTACACGCTTAAAGGAACAGTGTCATCCCATATTTTGATGTCATAATAAGTCAAGCGGGGACCCTGCTGACTCTGAGGTGTGCTTGCTCCCTGACTAGGGAGTCCATTGACTGGAGACATTTAAAAAACACTGATGCAGATGTTCTCATTAAACCACCTCTGACTCCAATGCACCTACTCTTTCCATAGAAATGTCTTTGTGGGTTGAAGGACTTTAAAACTTACCATGACTTGGAATAAAATGCCAAAAGTTTAAAATGAATGATATCTCTTGAAATATTGAAGCACATTATCTAAATTATTCAGCTTAGAACATTACTTGTCTCTCAGGTGTTCTTGAGATATTTCAGCCTTGGTACTAAAATTGACTTCTGAACTAGAGCCAAGTCCTGGGACCCTCTCCAAAGGTTCCAGATCAGGAATAACTGATCTGGCCAGACACCAAAGCTAAGATTTTTTTGTACATCCATGTGACATCAGTGAGAACATGAAGGTTAGAAACAAATTTACCTGGAAATAGAAAACACTTAAAGCTCTATAACACCCTCTATCACCCCTGTACTCCCTGCCCAACACCCTCTATCACCCCTGTACTCCCTGCCCAACACCCTCTATCATCCTGTACTCCCTGCCCAACACCCTCTATCACCCCTGTACTCCCTGCCCAACACCCTCTATCACCCCTGTACTCCCTGCCCAACACCCTCTATCACCCCTGTACTCCCTGCCCAACACCCTCTATCATCCTGTACTCCCTGCCCAACACCCTCTATCATCCTGTACTCCCTGCCCAACACCCTCTATCACCCCTGTACTCCCTGCCCAACACCCTCTATCACCCCTGTACTCCCTGCCCAACACCCTCTATCATCCTGCACTCCCTGCCCAACACCCTCTATCATCCTGTACTCCCTGCCCAACACCCTCTATCATCCTGTACTCCCTGCCCAGCACCCTCTATCACCCTGTACTCCCTGCCCAACACCCTCTATCATCCTGTACTCCCTGCCCAACACCCTATATCACCCCTGTACTCCCTGCCCAACACCTTCTATCATCACTGTACTTCCTGACTTTTTTCCTGGAATACTGGATGAATCAGAGGGATCAAGAGATCCAATTTTGCCTGGATGAAGTCATTAAAGTTATCTGCTTTCATTACCTGCTTCATAACAAATAAAAATATCTAGAATTGGGATGGCACATCCAAGTACTCACTGAAGAACTCACAGACAGACAGGCAATAGGGAGTAGTTGGGGTGGTATCAAAATGGTGTATGCTTTGTCTAAGTGAATGACACAAATGAACGCTACATATTCAACTGAATAAAAATTCAGTATGAGGATCATACACTTATGAGCCCTAACCTAAATTCCCATCTTTGTTCTTTAAGAAAGGGAATCAGTTATGTTAGATGAAGGTCTGTATACCCAGCAGTTACTTAGGACCAGAAATATATGTTCTAAATACAAGCAACATGTACCCATTACCTTGTTGGTAAAACTACATTTAGATCAAGGGATCCCACTACCCCCACTCTCCCCCACTTAGTATTGGGCATCAAACTCAAGGCTTTGTGCATTCTAAGCAAGAGCTATCTACTTTTGATGATAAACAAGAATGTCAAGCCAGGCCTGGTGGCATAGGCCTATAAATCCCAGCTACTTGGAAGGCTGAGGTAGGAGTATCCCAAATTCAAGGTCTACCCAGGCTATAAAGTGAGTTCAAGGACAGCATGGGCAATTTAGTGAGAACTTGCCTCAAAATAAGGGGGTAAAGAAGGCAGGATGGGGCATGGACACATAATGTGTGTATGTATGTATGTATGTATGTATGTATGTATGTATGTATGTATGTGTATGTATGTATATCATGCATCAAAGAAACATGAATATGTTAATTTTAAACTTAGAAATGGCAATAATTTAATTGGCCTAGATCCAATGTAATCTAGCATCATTCATTTTATTTCACATGAAACTAATAGTTTCATGTATACTTTTTATTTACTTTATTGCAACAATGCCATGTTGTCTCTAAAAGCAATACATCTTTGATAAGAAAAAAATGTTTCCATGCTTTAAAGACATAAAACCTCTATATTATTAAGAGTTTATCTTTTTATCTGATGTGATAGCCAATATTTGTCAACAAGGAAAAAGTCTGGGTAAGGTGAAATCTCTTCAAGCAAGACCAGAGAACATTTCTTACCCAGCCCACAAGGATGGGACCAACATGCTCAGTTGAACCATCAGGCTTCCGAATGTCTCGAAGCTGACTAAGGAGATCTGGCAAGAAATAAACGGAATGCTTATTTTGTTAGGCATTCAAATATGAGCGTGCACGCGCGGGTTGGGGGAGGGACGACTCTGGGCTACTCACATTATTACACAATCACAGATTTGCTATAAGACAACTCAATTAAGGCTGTAAGTCATGACTTCTCTGGGACCACACTGTACCTTCATGTAGAGGAATTAGAGAGTCCAGTGTTCCAAAAATTTGATTCAGTTCTTCTTCTGTCATTATTGAGAGTTTCAGCATGGGGTCATGGTAGGCCTGCAAAAGATGGGCAAGATTGGACACACATGTTGAAATGCAAAGAAACTCGGTTATTTATGCAAATGATTCCTGAGAGGTGCATCCCAATAAATAAAAAGTGGCTTCCTGCAATTTTTCCCATAATGCCATGGAAACAGCCTTTTGTGGCTACTGATAAACTAAGGTAGAGAGTTCCCCTTCCCCCAAGCTCTTCTACACTTAGATGTATACCATACATCTAGGAAGAAGCAAAAATCCTACATGGATAGCAGTCTGGATTGATACAAGGTTCTAAAAATCAACATAATCCTACACTTGGAAAAAAACCTCCCACTTTACTGGAATTTTTATTTTATTCAAGTCAGCAGGCTTTTTCAAATTAGAACATATCTAAAAGAAAACTGGTTGGGCCCTTCACTATTGACATTAAGTACAGACAGAAAAACATTCACTGGTCTTAGTTCAGATCTCCAGAATGAACATAAAAGTTGGGTGGGTACGGTGGTCCACCTACAGTCCTAGCACTGGGAAAATGAAGAAACAGTGAAAGTCCTAGAGGAAGCTGGCTAGCCAGACTAGCTATATTGACAAGCTTTGGTTCAGTGAGAGAGCCTGCCTCAATAAATATGGTGATGATCCAATGAAGAAGACTCATATCACCCTCTGGCATTCACCAGCACAAATGTGACCACACACATATACACACGTGAACAGGCACACATACATGTATACTACACATGAACACATGCAAAATAAGGCAGATGGTAATTCTTGCCTTCAGAAAGTTGTATAAAGCTAATTGAGATTTTTTTTTCTTTTGAAGATCCATGGAAACTTAAAACATGTTAAAAAAACAAACAAAATAAACAAACAAATAAACACAAAAAAAGTTCAGGCTGGAGAGATGACTTAGCCATTAAAGGCTAGGCTCACAACCAAACCAAACCAAAACAAAACAAAACAAAAAACAAAACCAAAACAAAACAAAACAAAAAAAAAAGTTCAAGACTAACAAGAGGAATGTCACATCAGAAAATAAAACCAAAACCAATCAATCGATAAAGGGCTCTAATGGGTCAAAAAATTAAAGGTAAAGAATCCAAGGAAGGTTCTAAAGATGAGCCATGTGTACAGAGGAGGCTGGAAATACCACAGAAGAAATGATCTTGATTTAAGCTGAAGCTTGTGACAGGGATGAGGTGTATGACTGAGAGGAAAGGGGACTTTGGGGCAAAACAGACCCCTGTGAGTCAGAGGATGGCCAAGAAACATCTAAAGGTGTCTATATTCGGGAAATCTTGACTCAGGAAGTAGGGGTTAGGCATGTCACTAGCATATGTACATATGATGTGTTCCAGACTTAAATCCTTCTTGTTTCTATGAGCTGTTCAGCTTCTCGTCCTACCCAACAATTTCTTGGCAGTGTCCATGCAAAGCCTAGATGGCCATCTCCAGAGTGTAGGAGGTAGAACTTCCTACTAGCAGAATGTTGAACTGAGGATCCTAAGACAAGAAGTACTCTTCCAACCACATGATTCCCTCAAAAAAACATGAACAAAAAAAGTCAGAGGAATCTGAATGGATCTTCCAAACTAGGGAGGTCACTAGATAGGATGATTTGCTGTCAAGAATGCACATGATTTAAAGCAATCCCATATAATACATTTACATCTGGTTCTAGCTCAGCAGTAGTTTATGTGCATAGTATGCTTAAGTCTGAACCCTATCCTCAGCATTGAACAAATAAGCAACCCCCACAAAAAACCACAAAACTCTAGTTCCATATGAAAGACCCTAATTTATTATACCTCACTCTACCTACTTTCAAGAATTGTCTTTATCCTGACTTAGAGATCAGTTTCTCTAAATGATGATTTCTCACATGGACAAAGATGCCCTACATGACTCCTATTTTGATGTGTTTTGAGAGACCGGCTCTCAGTATGTGGCCCAGGCTGGTCCTGTACTCGAGGCCCTCCCACCTCAGCCTGAGTAGCTCAAGAAAGACTTCTAGGACAATGAGATCTAAACAGACATCCTTTGAGGTATACTAGATGCTCAGACCCTCAGAGGCATCCATCCAGCAGGTGCCAGATGTAGAGGGCTAATTTGCCTTCCTGCTTTGAGCCATTTCCTTCACTGCTTGGTTTGTGGTCAGTTTCTTTTCAGTTTCTGATGACTTGAGTTAGGCACAAGGACGTTGCAGACAAGCATCATTTTGGGACTCTGAAATGACTCATGGGGCAGGAAACAGAACAAGAAGTGACTCGAACAGCTCCTGTGCCTCAGCTTACCTTTTTTGCCAGTTTCAAGTCTTCTATCAGGTCTTCTTCACCTTGAGAAAGCTCAAAGATTGCCTGCAAAGTAAGATGAACGGATTTGCTCAGTTCTTTCATCTATGAGACCAAATTCAAACAGTACCAACACTCAAAAGCTCCAAATCTCCTTAAGTTAAATGAGGCTTGGGGGAGCATCAGGGAAGTGCATGCTGAGCATGTGCACCAATCTGAGTTTAATACCTTGCAGTAAAAAAAAAAAAAAAAAAAAAAAAAAAAAGTTAAATTAGTCTGAAGGGAATGCATCTTGTAGCTACCAAGTCGTCCTTCACATTTTAGATCTCTGATGGAGTCTGACAAGTGGGAAGCACATCAAGTGTTGTAATCATTGTGTGTGTGCTGAATTCTATATCTTTGCCACGAGTGGTAATCAGAAGAAATAATCCAGAGCCTGCTCTCAGAGATGGATCTGGCAGTGTTCTTAACCAAACCATCACAGTCTGCTTCTTGGTGAGCCTCAGCCAAAGCTGTATCCCTATCATTTACTTAAGATAGGGGTCATAGGAAGAATCCAGCATGTTTTCACTGTAGACAGAATCTGGTGGAGCCAATTCATTCTAAAGTCCCACAAGGTACAACAAATAAGATTAGAGGCGCTGGTTGTTTGTAAGAGTGTGCAAATGCACCATTTTTAATTTGGCTCAATTAAGCCACCGTTATTTAAAGAGCTATGATGTGCAGGGTTCCCTCTCTCATCTGGGAATCTAAACACTGGGCAAACTTTATGGTATTAAAGGACTACAAATCTGTGGTGATGGTCCAGGAACAACTGTACTGTTTCTAGCTAGAGAGAAGTCAACAGCTTTCAGGCATGGCCATTACCCTGAGGTTTAGGGACTAGAGGGTAATAAAATGGAACAACACAGGTGAGACGGGGCCCTGGGCTGTGGTGACAACCCTCCCCAAGACCCAGCAAAGTCTCACACCAAGGCTTACTGAAATAATTACACTTGGATGAAAAGTTTCAAATATAGCACATGAATCCTGTGTATTTATCAGCTGTCTGTGTCCAACACCAGCATCTTAGACAGCTTGCTTGCATTTCCTTGGCCATCTGCTTTATGGGAGCTCATCAACTATTGTGACCAACTGCCCCGCACCCCAACCCCAGGAGGACCACAGGATTCCACAATGGAAAATACTTTGGCTTTGGAGTAAGATGAATCAGGTTCAAATCATGCTGTAGCTAACCCCTGCTTGCACTGCCTCAATGCATTTCTCATCTGTAGTCTATCTTTCCTTTTCCTATACTGTCAGGCTGTACAAGTTATATATGTACATCAAGAACACAAGTACAGGAAAATATAAGGAAGGAAATTTTGAATCACCCATAATAGCATCTTGTTATCTCTACAGAAATAACAAACTCAGTTTTTTCTTTCCTACCACCTCTTCCTTCCTCTCCCCCCTCAGTTTGTATTTTTTTCTCCATTTTCATAACATAGCTCAGTTTTGACACCTATCAATATGAGGACTTCCCTCTACATGCCAAGCAATGAATTCTGCCACAGATACCAGGTAGCTGTCTTCTAATTCAATTCTAATGCTACATACCTGGAGATGGCATCAGGTCTCCCAAGTGAGGGCTTAGTCCCAAGACTCCTCACCCTTCTATATGCTAATCAAAACCTATGACTCTCATCAATTGGTGAGGTCAGTGTTTCCATGAACCCTCCTTAGGCTTGCTTATTCTGCTACAACTGTTCACAGAACTCAAGGCAACATTCATGTTTACTGGTTTACAGGATATTATGTTATAAAGGTTATGAGCATCAGGTGAGGATAGGGACAAGGGAAGGTGTAAGTGCAGCCTACACCCTCTCCACAGCTACTGCACCGCCTTCCCAGAACTCGTGTTTAGCTATTCAGCTCTTAAAAAACTTTGTCCTCTGGGTTTCTATGGAGACCCAGAAGATTAAATCACTGGCCATTGCTTATCACCTGTAACCATCAGCCTCTCTCCCTTCTCCAGGGGTCAGCGTGTAGAGCCATATCTTAGTTTGGTTTCTGTTGCTAGGATAAACAAAAGCAACTTGGGAGGAAAGGGTTGATTTCATCTTACAACTGTCAGGTCCGAGTCCAACACTGAGAAAACTCAGGGCCAGACTCAAAGCAGGAGCCTAGAGGCAGGGACTAGAAAAGAGGTCATAGAGAGCTGATTTTCAACCTGGGGGTTGCATAGCAGATATCCTGCATATCAGATATTACATTACAATTTATAGCAATAGCAAAATTACAGTTATGAAGTAGCAATGAAATAATGGTGGTGGGGGTCACCACAACATGAGACACTGTATTAAAGGGCCCCAGCATTAGGAAAGTTGAGAACCACTGTCACAGGGGAATGCTACCTATTGGCCTGTCAGCCTGTTTTCTTACTACACAAGACCACCAGCCCAAGAAAAGTACTGTTCACAATGGGCAGGACCCTCCCACATCAATCATTAATCAAGACAACAAACACCCCACAGTCTGATGGAGGCAGCTTTTCAATCGAGGTTCCTCTTCCCAGATAAGCTAGCTGTGTCAAGTTGACAAAAACCAAAACAAAACAAAAACTAGGACAGGCTGGGTTGTCACTGGAAGGCACTTGTTATCCTGCCTGGTTCTTACTAGTGGCTAGTAACTTTTTTTTTTTAATATGAATTTTTTTATACCATGCTTATCTTTTGACCTGTGTGCAAGTAAACCTGGAAGATCAGTTCCTGGGAAGGACAGCTTAGTCATGGAACCTTGAAATTTTGAGTATCCCTTCTCTGCTAGGGTCAGGGGGAGATGGAGATGGAGACAGAGACAATATATATACATATACATACACATAATACATACACACATATATTTGTGAGTGTAAGAATCCTTATTGGACTCTTGGATTCAACACTGCAAAATCACTTTATTTTTACAGTGGGGCCATACCCACGAAGCTGGATGCTGGCTTTTCAGTTTATACTATCCTATATCCTTCCACATATGACGTGGCTCTGAGGGTAGTGCACTGGTTCTTGCCTGCAGGGTACCTTTGTACACAGGCAGTTCCTTGGGTCCCAAACTTACCTCCTGTCGCTTGATCTCCTTGGCCGTAAGCACCTGATTGACACACACATCGAAGGTCTCACTCCACAGTTTGCTGTCCCTCCGCTTTGTGCTTGAGGAGGTGGCATTTCTGGACCAGGCTCGGGGGGCAAGGATGTCGGGGCGGCTCTCACTTCGGAAGCTAATGGACCGCTACACAATGAAAAGAAACCATCATGGGGTCAGCAGCAGGACTGGGTGGATCCTTTTTGAGCAGCTTCCTGTGACTGACAGACACAAATCATGTATCTATCTGCAAGCAAGAAAGGGCATGGCCAAAGCTTTTAAAAAGTGGGTCACTGAGGGATATGAGCAAGAGCCTTTTCCCACAACACGCTGAAGGCATCATTCTATGTGACCTGGACATTGAGGGAACTACAGAACAAGACCATGCAGGCCAAGCTCACATGCAAAAGGCTGCTCTCCAGCACACACCCAGTGGCTTGTTTCCAATGGACATTACTCTTCCTAGGCAGATACCTACACCAAGTACCAGCCTGGCAGCAGATGATGCCTACCCTGACATGTTTTGTTCTTTTGCAAAGAGTCCCCAGCTGTCTTTAGAAGTCCTAATCACTCAAAGTTCAGCCTTGTGACTGAAATATGCTCCCATGGGGCTTTCTCATGATAAATGCAAAGCATTCAAAGGAAGGTAAATGTGTCATCATTAGTCTTTAACCTTCAAGATTGCAACACGTTCCCTAGAAACGGAAAAGTAAAGAGGTCTCTACACTCAAAAAAAAAAAAAACACTTTTTTTTTTAAAGACAAATTCTTATGAAGCTGCTACCTTTCCAGAAGAGCCAAGTTTGGATTTCAGTGTCCACAACTGTCTTAGCTCTGTCTCCATTGGGACCTTATGCCTCTGGTCCCTGAGAGCACCTGCACTTACAAGCACTTGCACATACACACACTTTAAAATATTAAAATAGTTTTGTTTAAGAAGACAGGATCTTTGGTTATGCAGTATAGGATGACCTGGAACTGCTGTGTAGCCCAGGCTGCCCTTCCAACTCAGGATTGTCCTCCTATCTCAGCCTTCCAAGAGTCGAGATTATAGTTGTGTGCTAGCAGTTAAAAACTACAACATCCCACCAACACACACTTTAACAAATGTTCCCGTGCTGCTGCTCCCTGGGCCCTTCTGTGTGAACTGCCACTCAGCATGGCAAAGAATCTGACAACAGGAGACAGGCATATTTAGGACTGTACCCATTCATCCATCACCCTGCCACTCTGCCACTCTCTAACATTTTTTTTTTCTTTTTGCTATCAGTGCTTTCTCTGAGCAATCTTCTCCGTCTCAAGGGTGTTTCTCCCATTTCCCAACTAATCCTCACCTGTCTTCAGAACATAACCCAGATCTCTGTCTCTTTTAGGAAGGGTTCACCAATGTTCTTCCTCCTTCCTGTTCTGCCATTTGGATAAACTTCTGGCAGAACAGTGACCACATCTTGCTCTGTTTATTTAACGTGGTTTTAATTGATTTTGCATGTGACATATTAGCCTGCATCACTAAGACATTACAGGGTAGCTCTCAGTTATTTGAGATCCAACTATGAAATCCAACAATTAAAAATTGGAGTGGGGAAGGGGCTCCACTGTTAAGGTCACTGTTAAATAAGTTAGAATTACCTGTTGGAAGAATATTGACTAGTCTTTAAGCCAACTCTGAGGTAATTTAACTGCTAAAAATCCCCTTTATGCAAACTTTACCAGCATTAAAAACCATATATGATCACTTCAAAATTATGCAAATCCTATGTGAGCAGACATCTTAAAATGCCATAAATTTCTCATTTTTCCCCCTCATAGGTGACTTCTTACTTTCTAATTACTTAGAACCTGAGAAAATGGGAAATATGATAGAAGTTTCCAAAGGGGCTTCAGGACCTTTCTAGAGCTTTGTGGATGAAGACAAGTCCATGTAGTCTTACAAGCAGCAGCCAAGCTCCGGAGCTACTAGGGACTTGTGTGAGTTCCTGATTCACAGGTAAGCTCATGACATCTAAACCAACTCCATGCAGAACAACAAGTGCTTGCTTGCCCAGGTCACTATTGGTTTTGCACAAATCCTGGGATCTCTTAAACAAGCCCCTTATAAACAGCAGCTATGCTAAATGGTTGTAGCTTTGCCTGCACTCGGAATCAACTAGCCATAGTCCTGAAAGGTCAAAACAAGGTAGTGAGTCACCAGACCACTCTCTTTGTGGTTCTGATGGGCAGGTGGTGGGAATTGTAGAACAGAAAGAAGAAAATACAAAAAAAAGAAAAGGAAAAGTGTAGCAACAGTTTCCACTTTCACTTGAAAGGATCAGCTGCCCAGCCCATCACAGTTTCAATCTGACCAACCTTGGACTTCCCCCAGGAGGTGGAAAAATTTATACCAACTTGAAACTTTTATGTTTTGCAAAATTCCTTGATTCTAAGTCAGCTTCTCTTCTTTCCCCCCAAATCTACTTCCTAGCAATAATCATTGTTTTATTCAAGGCCTTTCCAATTTTCTTTCAAGTATTTTACAGATATGGAATGCTTTCTCTTCTTAGTCACCTATACCTTTTTAATGTTAGCATATAAAAAAATCATTCTTCAAAAATGTAACTGAGGGGTTGGACAGATGACTCAGTGGCTAGCAGCACTTGCTGCTCTTGTAAAGGACCTAAATTTGCTTTTTAGTTTCCATATTGATAGTTCACAACCATCTGTAACTCCAGCTCCAGCTCCAAAGGATTCAACTCACTTTTCTGGCCTCTCCTGGCTCCTACCTACGCTCATGTGCAACCCCCCCCAACATACACAATTAAAACTAAAATAATTCTTAGAGCAACAACAACATAACTGAGATGAATAATAGAAAACAAAACATAATGTATGGAGTTACATGTAATATATGAAAGACTATAAATGAAAATGCTACTATGAGTGTCATTATTTTGTTTGCTAACATAAAAAGTTAATTAAACAGAGAGCAAATTCCTTTCAAGTAAAAACCCTGAGGTAAAGTTCAGATAAAATAAAATTAAACATCTTTGAAGCGAACAGATTAGTGGTGTCACAAAACTATTTCCTAGTCCCAAGCATTTTCTTCACCTCAAAATCACTGTTTAGCAATGGCTACAGTGGAACCCTAAGATCTAGTTAGACCCCATTCATATTCAACAGCCACCTGATGAACAGTGGAATCATTTCTGGCAGCTGGCTATTACAAGACGTGCCTAAGGGAACACCCTTTGTGTGTTTGTGTCGATATTAATGAGGCAGATTCCTTCAGTCTAAAAACTATCAAGTCTTATTTATTTTATTGCATCTCATTTGAGTTGCTGGGGTTTCTAAGATCTCATCTATGCTCAAGCAAGACCTCTAATATTGATACTCTGATGCTAACATGTGTTACCAAATTAACCTTCAAACAGGCTCTTCAGCAGTACCGCTCCAGATAGGAACAGGTTAGCACATGCTTGCACTCTCATCCACAAAGTTTTATTCATCTCATAGGCAAAGATCCCTGTACCTGAGTTCTAGTATCATGTTTTGAATACAAAGACTAATGGACATATTTTTATGAATTTATTGAGACATCAGTCGGTTAGAGATTTTCTTCATTGCCTCATGGAGAAAACGAAAGGTGGCTACCCTAAAGGCACTTCCCCTTTTGTGTTTTCTTAGTGACTGCCAGTCTTGGGGTGCAATGGGAATTATCTCAAGGATCTTTCATGCATCTGTCCTCTTTGGATGTAATCTTCCCAGTTCTCACATCACCTCCATAAAGTGGGCTCTGTTTTCATTTTGCTAATGTGGGAACTGAGGTGCGTGCGTGCACTCGGGCTAACACAATTGCCCAGATTGGCTCCAAAATATGCATTTTGTTTCAAAAGTCTGACTTCTTTTTATGCTGGGTCAGAACCTGTTGGTTCCAGGAAATCATAGGCCCTTTGAAGGTTTCAAGGAGAGAAGGTCCATCTCCCGCCTTCTAGGAAGTAAATTTGACTTAAGGAAAGAAAATGCACTGGGCTCAGTTTACTAGGAATAGTGACAGATTTATGACCACCATACTCCAGATTTATACCCCAGAGCTGTATTAAACCAAACACTACACTTTTTCTTACTTTTCTCAGTGAAGCTGGGAAGATGTTGAAAGAAAAACTGCAAAAGAAGAAATAATGAACTGGGGTAGGGTGTGGTCAGCAGCTGCTGGGCTCTGAGAAGGAGCGGCTGCTGCTAGTCCTGAATCGGTTCTTCAGGCGTTCACCATAGCACCAGCCATATGCCAGGAACTACACCTGGATCAGTTAGCAATATAAATGGGCACGATTATATGAGAGTACTGAGTTGGGGGAGGAACATGTGGCTCCTGCTAGAAGAATTCCAAGGGATAAACGCAATGATTCCAGAGTCCCTGGCAATGCCCTCCAGGCTTTAATTTTTCTGTACTTGGACAGGTGTGCCTTCGTGACCTCACTGTCTCATTTCTGACACATGCTTCCTCACAACAGAAGATAAATGCATTACTTTCCTCATCACTGAGACCAAATATCTGACAAGAAGCAACTTAAGGGAGGGAAGGCTTTCTTTTGGCTCAGAGTTTTAGAGGATATGGTCCATCTATGGCAGAAAGGGGTGACAGCAGGAATGTGAAGCAGCTGGCCACACTGTGTGCACAATTACAAAGCAGACCATAGACAGGAAGGGTGGGGACGAGTTATAGATTCTCAAGACATGGTCCCCAGTGGCCACCTCCTCTAACGGTGCCACCTCCTAAACTACAACCTTCCAAAACAGTATCAGCTGGGTGGGGACCAAGTGCTTGAAGCAAGTGACATTTCATACTGAAACCCCAATGGACAGCACCGGAAGGCAGGGATATCTATTTGCTTCATTCACGGGTGGATTTATCAGCATTTTATACATGGAAGGGCTTTATAACTGTAAAGTGAGTGTTGTGTGTGTGTGTGTGTGTGTGTGTGTGTGTGTGTGTGTGTGTGATGTTCTGTGCCTGAACTGAATAGAATTCTCTTAAACCTGAGGACTAAGTATTCTTGTTCCCATTCTACAGATAGGAAACTTGAAGCTCACAGAAGTTGAAATTTTGTTGAAAGCCATGCAGTTAATAAAAGATTTTAACTGGGCGGGCAGGGGTGTGTGTGTGTGGGGGGT